AATAATTGATCATTGATGGAGTGATTGATTGCGTAAATAATCGGATGGGTAAGCTCCAATTATTGTTTGAAACCACAGAGAGAGCTTTCGTGTAATGGAGTATTCTGGGTAATACGTTATACATTCCCTCCGAATCGTAAAATCAGTCCAGAATGCGCGCGTTTAAACATGCCGATATGGAATGGAAGGTGATTCATATACTTTTTGGTTTTTTGGAAGGTGACTCAAATAATTTAATAATTAATTGACTCGGGTGTTTTTATCAAAAGGTGTCATCTTACTGTATTTTTCTGGGTCAATGATATGGAATTACATGTTTACAATAACAATCAACCTTGACATCATTTCTCAAGATGTTATTATTATTATTTCCTACTGGGCGCTTGGCTGGCTTTAATGAAATGTAAAATGTATTAAACATTACACATTTTGAGCGAAGCACTGGACTTTTAACCCTAATACAGGTAATTATAATTCCTGACATATAAGTCATAGATGAACCCCCATACTATTAAAATATTTTTCATGATGACTAATGTATTTAACTTGTGCAGTATGTATAAACAGTAGAACTCTAATCAAGTAACCTAATTGCTCTTCTTGGTTCTTTCGGTAAAGTCACGTAGAAGGGAAGTAATAAAATAATAAAAATAAAACATAATAAAATAATTCTCACGACGTCTCCCCGACAGACCTGGTCTTCACCTGAGGACGGCTCCTTGCGTTGTGGCCGAAACGTCGTGAGAATTATTTTATTATGTTTTATTTTTATTATTTTATTACTTCCCTTCTACGTGACTTTACCGAAATAACCAAGAAGATTAATCCCTGCAGTCACGAAAGCTTTAAATCGAAATTTAACCTAATTGCTCTCAACTTATTTTATGCACAGGAGCCAATAGGTCCACAAAACCTCATATTATCAGCAACTGTTTTTTATTATCCGCTATTATCCAATATAAGTGGATTAAATTAAGGGATAACCTCACAGATAATAATAGGATGTGGGGTTCCATTAAAAACATATCTCGCAGATAATGGTACCCGGCTTTGGCAGATAAGAGGAATTTTACTGTATTGTTTATTTTATATTTAAAATGTTATATCGGTTGGCATGGTTTCCCAAAGGCCGTTTGCTGTATTTTTTCTCGCAACGCATTTCCCGAGCCACATAAAATCGTCTGCGATTACGTACAGAAAAATGTTACTTCAATCCATTATTTTGGCCGTCAGCCCCAAGTTGGAATGCTTTACTCAAAAGGCACAGGTGCTGACAAAATTGTAAAGGGGAGGTGGAAAATGTCATGCTTTAAACATGGGCCGTGGAGAGGCAATGAGTTTGTAGGCTTATTGTGATTAATGACATAGAGTGCTCACGACCACACTGGCTTTGCATCAAAAACACAACCGTAATGTCAAAAGCTTCGGGTCACGAGCATCACCGTGATTAACACGGTTTTTTCCCTGCGGCACTGCAGGGTTCCCGGGTAGCGAGGGGGCGTTCGCATCCCGGCACAATTGGCGAACGCAGCAAAATCTGTGGCCACGTGCAATGTCCAATGTTGTTCCTCGCCTGCTCCTGACAAAAGGTGATTACATTTTTGTTGTTGAGAATGTCAAGAAGTATCAAGTTTACAATTCTCAAAAGGTCTTACGTCGACCAATATTCGAGTATAAACGTGGTGCCAACGTGTTCAGCAGTTTTTTTGTGGATTGCGGGGAGAGTTGTTTTTTTTTATCAGCGTATAATTTCCGCTCACGTGCACGTTAAATCAAATAAGCTCCGTGGAAAGTTTTTGCATTTCTTGTATTTTTTCCTGCCAGGTTACCTGAGGACATTGCAGCAGATCGTAAACTTCTATACATCCTAATTGAACACTTCACTTAAAAATGGAATTACAGTTTGCAAATCATACGATTGTAATGTAATTCGGCCACACATAGCCCAATTGAAGTGATTATTTACTTATAATTTGAATGTGTAATTAACAACTGTTATATATGGGATTGCTAAATGATGGTTCTGTCAAAACATATTTAAATATCATACCACAGTATTTAAAAACAATAAATATCCGTACATACGCTGCTACGTCACTGCCAAAGAAATAAACGCCTTTAGATTGCCAAGATTAGAATTTCACCAGATTTGCGACTACTGCGAATTTTACTGCTGATGCCTTGAATTTCTGAACCTCAAGGCTGCATCTATTGACCTCATGGCCCTGCCACCTGCGATTTCTTGAGCAAAGTGATGAATTAAAATAGGCCAGTCACTTCCCATCGCTTCTTTTCTGCAGTTGGCAAATATGCAAATAGTCACCTGACATGTCTGCACTCTCCAATGTCCAGTTATATAAAGTACTTACATACAATATTTGCACAAATAAAATGAAATTGTTCACTAAAAATAAATCGTAATTTTCATGCGAGCTGCAGTCACAATTAAGTAATGCCTTGCGTGGAGGCGCAAGCGTTCTGCTCACGAAACAAAAGCCGTCTGCAGACGGAAACTAATCCCTGGTTCTGTGATAAGAGTTTGAAAGAAAACGAACAGGTCTTACTCAAAACAATCAGCCCCAGTATCTCGGCAGCCAGAGTAGGCGCCTACGTGCACGATTTCTGCGAAACGCTTGGCCGCGGGACTTTCCTAACCCCAGCGACGAACGTGTGTGGGCGAATGCCATGGAGGGATCGAGAGAGGCACAGACGCAGGGAAAACAAGTCAGTGGTCTCCGCGGTGGACAGGTCACGGTGGACAGTTGTCGCGGCAATGCTGGACATCTGTGAACAAGAGCTTCATAGCTCTTCGTATTCCCCCAGTATAAAGAATGATTCTAATTCTGAAGGTGCTGCAATGAAATAAACCGTTACATTGCAAATGGTGCCGCATGGTAAATGTTGGGGGGCGGGGGGGGGTTGGCTATGGTGAATGGGCTATATTCTATGGTTGGGATTCGTGTTAGAATGTATGTGGCTACGGTTAGGAGTTCGAGCAATTCCTTGCGTTAGTACTCTTTGGTTTTTTCAGTAAAGTCACGTAGGTAAAAAATTTAAATAAATTAAATCACGACTTAGCGAAAGCACACTGCTTAAGCGGTGTGCTTTCGCTAGTCTGTTCTTATTTAGTTGTCCCCACCTGAAGAAGGACGCTTGTGTTGCGCCCGAAACGTCGTGGCTTAATTTATTAAAATTTTACCCGCGTGACTTTACCGAAAAAACTATAGAGTATGAATCCTTGCAGTCACGAAAACTTCAAACCTGGAATCCTCGCGTTAGTGTCAAGAGCGTTCGTGCCAAGGTCGCGGCAATTAGTGTAAGTGCTCGTCGTCGAGATGGTGGTGTCTGTGTTGGGCTTGTTGTGGTCTTTATTTCGTGACAGCAGTGGGTTAAGGGTTAGTGGTTCGAGGCGGGTTTAGTAACTCGCGTCTCGTTTTTCGTACTGTGAAGGCGACGGTTTCGCTTCGGGTTGTGGTTGTTCTTTGTGAGAGCAGTGGCTACGGTTTGTGTTCATTATACAGGTGGCGCTAGTGGTGTTGTTAAAGTTAGTGTATCGGTGTTGTTTAACATCACGGTGTTTGGTTCACGATGGCAAATGTGGAACATGATGCCACATCAGAGATACGTATAGGCATCATTGCACCATTAAGTTACGAATATTATTCATTATTGTAAGGGCAATGGTTAGGGTTAGTGTTAGTATTAGTGCTGGAGATGTGGTTATTATTCGTGTAAGGGCAGCAATGGTTCAGGTTCATGTACAAGGTAGTATTTGTGATCTAGCTATGGGTTATTTTTCATATGAGGCTATGTATGTATGTTGAACTTCTTTCACACTGTACGTAGCGAACCGTGCTTATCGGAGGTGTGCGGGAAAGGACAATTAACGAAACACAAAAAACTGTTCTAACGAATTGACTTTTTAATCTAGATTATTTAAAAGTGCATAGCTCCAGTGGCTTCCTAATATCGGAAGGCGAGAGCGTTCCAGACGGCCGCAGAAGTGCATCTGAAAGCGCCGTGCGCGATGCGGTGAATGGTAACGGCTCGTTGTTGTTTCGAGGTGGCATTCAAGTTCAAGTTCATTTATAAGGTATAGCCCTGTGAGCCATTCGGCTCTTGAATCGGGTGCAACCACAACAAACAAAAAAACATGAACTAAAGACATCTTAAAGTGAATATGTGACTAAGTGCAAACAGAAAATCCAAGAAAAGACAGCAAATATTGCAGAAAAAACACCGTACACCAACGCTGTGTGCGCAAATCCCAGTGGGATGCAAGTCAAACAACAACAACAGCAGCATTGCCATTGGTCAACGTTTCCCTGCGCCACACCGAACACCTCGTGGCTCTTCCCCTTCAGGCAAGTCGCTCACCGAGTGGCCTGGTGGAGCCCGGTGTGGCGGAGGCTCGCGGGATGCCGACGGGGCTGGTCCTGCGGTTCTGGCCCGTCCGCGTGCGCTTCGGGGTCCTCGGTCTCGCCGCCTGCGTCGTCTCCACCGTCCTGCTGCTCTTCCTCATGGACGAGGAGCTGTCGGGATTCGGGGAGGTAAGTCCCTGCCGGCACGAGCCAGCGGCTGGCGTTGAAGTTCTGACCGACTCTTCGTTGTGTGAAACGACAGCGACCGCGAGGATTGCTCGTGCGTAGCAACTCGTGCGACGATGGACGGATTCGTCGAATGAAATCAATTCTTAGGCTTAGGATACAAGAGTCGATTGCCTGAATGAGAATCGATTATTTGCTATGTATACGAGTTATATGAAATGTACATGCTCATGTTATGTCTAGCTAATGTAGCCTGTATCATATGACAAAGATATTAGAAAAATATAAACAAAATGACATCGCAAAAACGAGATAATTTTTTGCATTGAATCCAAATGACGCCTAAAACATGATAATTGGGGGCTGTGGCAGCGGAAATGAATGATTAGATGCCTAAAATAAATGTTCAAGTTCTGGCTCATTCCGAGCATGCAGTAAATAGGGCTTGATGGATCACACCGTGATGGAGCCATCAAACGTGTCAAACACTACACCTACATGGCAATGACGAGGGTACAAGAGGCAATAGAACAAGAACACTTTCGACAAATTTGTGCTGAGTTTAAGTGCCATCGTTTCAAATGAGTGGCTTTTTTTCTGGGCCCTCCAGTTTCCTCCCACACATGTAAAAACACTCAAGTAAATGGCCAATCATTACAAAGAGAACAGCCACACTTTCTTTTATTTTTTACTTTATGTCATTCCGTCATTCAGGTCACTGTTTGCGAATGAGATCATCCTGGTGCAGTGAGTTCTCACCTGGTTAAACAAACACACTCGAATTGAGAGTCACCGAGATGTTCTTGTGAAGATAAGAAAAATAACTGCTCGCTAACAGCGGTCGACTTATGGATAGACTTTTCATCGCCTGTCGTCAAACGCTGGGTAGATTCCAGAGAAAAAAACAGCTATTCCCAGCCAAGCTTATGTTCTACCTTTTCCGATTGTATAAGACACTCAAAGGCAGCACAGTCCTTCCCATGTGGTTTCACGAAAGAAAAAAATCACTGAAAAAAATATTTATATGATAAGTTATAAATTCAAAGACAGAAGGTGCAGAGGGAGACAGAATAGAGAGCACTTTTCACGTGAGTTTGATTTTTGCATTGCTGCTCACCTTCCGTCCCCCTGCACTACACACACAGAGGTAGCCGATGTGCTTTGGGGTGCCACGGTGGCGAGATGTTAACTACCTCACCTGGTATACAGGAGGTTGTGGGTACGATTCCCAACGCTGACGCTTGTATATTTGGAGTTTGCGTGTCTCTCTCCTCATGGTGGCATGGATTTTTCTCCGGGTCCCCAGGTTTTTCCCTCCACATTTAGAAACAACGTGCACTTAAGAGCATTTGGCTGCTATAATCGTCCTCGAAGTCGTCGTCCTTGAGCTTGTTGGCCGTGCCCCGGAAGGACGAGTAGTACCCCATGTGCTGGAACAGCGACGGCTTGAAGCGGATGGCGTCGCCCTGCGCCAGCAGCGTGCGGAAGTGGTTGAGGAGCCAGTCGCACGGCATCTCCTGGTAGAACATGAGCAGGAAGCGGGCGAGGCGGGGCAGGTCGCACGAGCGGTACAGCTTGCCGATGTAGCCCAGCTTGGAGAACTCGAGCGTGGCCCAGGGCTGGCCCTCGAGCGAGGACACGAACTTGCGCACGTAGGTGAGGAAGTTGCGCGAGCACGCCACGTCGTCCTCCAGCATCAGGTAGTTCTCCGACAGGTTGGCGCAGAAGTTGGTGAGGAAGGCGTAGTCGACGTTCTGCTTGGAGCGGAAGGTCACCCTGTCGTCGGGGTCGTCGAAGTTCCTCTTGAGGCCCTGCAGCGGCGGGTAGGTGTGCCGCGGGGCGTGGATGACCACCAGGCGGCCGCGCATGACGTGCTGCGAGAACTTGCGGGCGACGGCGCGCGCCGTGCCCTCGCACCACTCCGCGTCGAAGTCGGCGAGGTGCACGACGATCACCATGTCCGCGAGCTCGTCGTCGCTCGACGCTCGAAAATCGACTTGAGCGTCTGCAGCAGGTAGTTGCCCCTCGCCCTCTTCACCGACGAGATGCCGATCGTCAGGTACTCTGCAGTCAAAGGGCGAGATGGCCCAGCGGACGTTTGGTATAGAAATGGGCAGATCAAGACAAAGGTCAAAGCGGTAATAAAGCCCTTTTGGTTATAAATGACTGCATAATACAAAAAAAATACATGTATAACATGTGGGTACAGACAAAAATAAACACTTGCGACATGTTACCAATTTTCGGATGAATCTTAAAAATCTGGCTTCGCTATGAAAGATTTCGGGTTGAACCGAAATTACGATATCACGGGAAATGACAGCGCTTATATTACGTCCCTTACTTTTGCGCGTTTGCTGCTATAGGTGGTGGCATGTGCCATCAGGTGACGTCACTTGTTCACGTGAAGACACGCAAAAAATATGACATCATGTAAATGATCAGAAAATTCTAACCAAGAACCAAAGTTGTCCTTAATCCCAACAATCTGATCTGCTTAAATCCAAAAACACATTCCTAATACACACACTGTTATATATCTTTATGGAATTTAGCTTTTTACAAAACTGCAGCAATTATATCTATGCACGTTGAACGTCTTTCGCACCGTACGTAGGCAGCCGTGCTAATCGGAGGGTGCGTATTAATTAATCGGAGGTGCAAATTAATTTATGAAAAGGTCGCTAATAGACTCCCGGACAGAATAATTCCGGGCTCGATTGGAGGTGCTGAGTACGTGTTGTGCAGTCTGATTTCCGCAGCAACAAAAAAAATGCATCTTCATCTCGGAGGTCCAAAGGCAATTTAAGGTCACGACCCCCACCGGCATCACGGCGTGCTTTCGACTCGCACAAGAAACGTCTCTTGCCCTTCAACACCACAAGCGGCAATGCAATATTTATTATTCAACGCATACCGCTCACTTTATCCAAAGTCATTATTTTTTTACATTGCCAGTTTATGTTAGACTTCAAACGTATAATACTGCCGAATATAAAAAATATATACAAACATGCACTATGTGAGATGCACGTTTCTCAATTGAGTTTTACATAGTCATAAATAAAGATGGTTTTACTATCTATAATCTGGCTATGGATATTGCCATGGTCGAACGGTTAGCACAATGGATGTATAACCCAGAGGAGGCCACTAGTTCGATCTCCTGATGTGCCAGTTGAAAAAATAGGCAAGCTTCTTGAATCCTCCTGCCTCTGCCCACCCAGCAATAAAATGTGGCAACTCCTACATCTTCCAAGATGCCTGGCCAGTGTGAAAGAGTAGGACAAATATGCTCTAGAGAGGGCTCTTTTGAGCTTACCCTAGTGGAGACCCATTCTGCCAGATGTGGTATGAGAAAGTTGTTTCATGGCTGCACCTTTACCTGGTAGCGTGGACGGCAGTGAGTGGCAGAAAGTGTGGCTCGTGAATCAGAAGGTTGTATGTTTCAATTCCAGTTAGGGCTTTCCTCAGCTCTTAAACTTTGTGGGGACGTCAAGAGTGATTGTCCTGAAGAAAATCTCAACCCCGCATAGGAATGTGGAATTTCCACCACTGTAAATTGGAGATGAGCAATGTCCCATGCTCAAGTAAGTGGAAGCTAATTTTGCTTTGTGACTTATTTTGCTCATCATCCATGGAAATATGAACGTGTGATACAATATTGAATCCTGCTGCAGCTGTATTTAAGTGTGATTTATTACAAAACCAATGAAGCAGTGTAGACGCTTGCATTGTTTAGTAATTATAACATGAAAATGACTTTGATGTAATAGGTGAACTCATATTAAATGGGTTTCATTGAATCCGTGTATGTTTGTGTGTGTGTTTCGTGGTTTGTAATGAATCATTCCTTATTCTGTATTTTTGCAAAATAAATACTGAAATATTGAGCAATGTATTGTAGGGTGCTTAATCAAAATACAAATTTCTCATAATTCTTCCAATCGATAGAAATATATATGAATGTGTTTCATTGATAAACTAGTTCAGGATTGAACTGTATTATGTAGTGTCTGTACATCACTTTAATTATGCTTGATTTTCAAAAAGTAATATCCAATGGAAAATTATCTGTAATTTTATCAACAGGACCAATTATTAACAGTCAAACATCGCTATGGTGGTTGTCTTGTAAAGCCTTATTAATCCATAATTATGTAATTGCAATGTTAGGAGTAGCTGCTTTTTATTTTCTCGCTTCATTATATGTTTTAAACATTTTACAATGCTCGAATGCGTGGAGATTTTATTTGAACAAAAATAACAATAAATGCGTAAATGACAACACAAAGTTATTCCCTTATAGATGCTAAGAACAAATTAAATTCAGCTGTGATAGATAAAATAATTTCTCCCCCCCTAGCCCCTCTTCCCTCCCACCACGCCACCTATTCTGGCTACATCAGATGTGCCCAGCATGGATAATTTAATAAGTAGTAATTTTTCATGCAATTCATATTAAATAGATTGGCCATGCCTGGTGCAATTTCGCCATCGCCGGAAAGGTTGGGCTCGCTCACGTCGCCCCAAAAAAAGTGTTCACGGTTTGCAGCTGAGCCTTGAGAATAGGAGGAGGCAATTTTACTGGTAGGAACCTCCTGGTTACACCAGCCCACAGGGATTATTGTGTCCGCCCGTCCGTCCGTCCGTCGTGCATCCAGAAATGTGAGGGTGGGGCTGGGTGGAGAGGGGAGGGTGGGAGGGGCTGGGTGGGGAGGGGCTGGGTGGGGAGGGTGGGCTGGGTGGGGGTGGGAGGGTGGGGCTGGGTAGGGAGGGGCTGGTCACTCCGTGGTGCCCTTATAAAACTCAGCGTTTAACCTACTCATGCCGGCTTGTGCCCGCCTTCACAGTCGGCCATATTTGCGGAATACACCACGCCGCCATTGACCCTGGCCATTGACCGAGCAACCCAACGTTCCTACCAGCTCCTCCGCAGGAATGTGTTGGGCGAAAAACCAGACGCTTGCCATCCCCGGCCAGTGGTTCTTAACCTGGGGTGCATGCACTCCCTGGGGGTGTGAGATGCCCTTTTTGGGGCATCTCGCCATGCCAGATGTTTTTAGAAGGTAAATCATCAACACACAAATTAAACGCTACTTTGTTTTATCGAATCTATGTACGTAGTAACATTATGCGCGTGTTTTACGATTGTGAACAGAAGGGGTGCAAGGCTGCAGTAAAAGTTAAGAACCACTGCTTTAGGCGGTTATAATAATTCGTAAATAAAAAGTACATTACTGTATTTTCCTGATTATCTCCTCTTCACCACCACTGAGTCAGTGGTGGAATTCACGAGTCCAATGGAGGAGGCAAGGTTATCCATTGGATGACCGCTGTTGATCTCCCCACAAAGTGGTAGTAATTGTATTGACCCCTCAGAGGGATGATGGCTGAGTCAATCACCAACCGGGATTTGAACTTGCGGCCACCCCAAATTGCGATCTTTTCGCTCTGCCGCTGAGCTACCTGGCAAATATTTACTTGAAAAAGGGTGGGCAAAAAAACTCAGCACAATATATAAAGGGAGAAAATGTCGGGCAATAGTCCTTCTGTAGAGCAGAGAAAGACCATTGGCCAAGAAGTGCTATAATTTATATTCTTGGATTGATAAGACAGGTCTCATAACGAGTATTTTAGGCATTGTCATCAAGATCCATGGGCAGATAGTCTATAGGTGTCCACTGCACATTTCGTCATTTTGTTTCCACTTTCCTCTGTCTTGTGCCAATATGCTCAAGTAGGGCCACATCTTCCAGGCACCAATCTCTTATGTCGTCATCAAGCCATTCTCTGTTCAGTATTCCTCTCTTTATGGTTCCTTACATTTTTCCCGAACAACACACTTTTAATTTTCCTGTTGTTGTCCATTCTACATACGTGTCCAAATAGTGCCAGATTCCTTCCCATCACTCCCTGCATCATCAGGTTGTCTTCTTCTATTTACAACCTTTGTCTTACTTCTGCGTTGGTCACTCTTTGGGTCCGGCTTAGATGCAGTATCCCTCTGTAGCAATACATGTCATGCATTATGCTATGTACTGTTTGCTCCTGTATTCTAAAGCAAAGGTTGGGTGCATTGTATAATGTGGTCGGTGTATGCGAGACCAGATGTGTGTATACTTTGCTTGAGCTCAGGCACAAGTTTGGGATGCATTTTATTCTCTGGAGTGTCTTATAACCTGGAGCATAGTGTTTATCTGTTTTTCTCTGGAGGGAAATCTTTTTATGAATGCGTTGAGATTTTTGCTATTTTATTTGTGCTTGTTCACCACTGCCAAATGCAGTGTGACAAAACATGCTCGCATATGGTGACTTTATGATGAATACGGTTTACATGTGCCCCTGTCCCGACTTAAATAATTGATAGGGTGACAATTGTCCATTATCTGAACACATAAAAAAACAACATACACAGAGGTGAGATGTGTTTCAATTATGTTGCATGTTTACATTGCATGTCACGTGTACATGTGGAAATCCACTACTGGATGAATGCCTCCCCAATGGGTTGTGGTGGTTATCTTTGCATTTTCACCATACTGGTCAATGCAGGTTGGTGATGGTGGGGAGCATAGAAGTATAGTACAATGTTTATTGTTGCACTGCCTACTATGTAGCTCTAAAACTTCTAACACCGGCTATGCATGGTGGGTAATAAATCCAAGTTCGATCCGGGCTCAACACTGCTTAGCATCGGAGATATTCATAGGATGAGCACATTCCAGTTCATTTTGAAGAACTGAATCTCAACCAGTTAAGTTTGATACCGTTGATAGATTGTCAATATTTATTTATCTTGTAGAAATCCGATGAGCTATGAAGCTCTTTTTCACGTAATTCATGGAGGTGGTTCGGCAGTTCAGGGGTCATAACACTTGGTCTGACAATACTCAGATCCTAGGTTCAAGTTTGAGTGTCAGCCACCCGTTAATAATACTGGTTCTCAAGTGCATCAATATTGATGGTCTCAGCCCAATCACCAATAATTGTGCAAACTAATCCATCATTGTAGATTCGATGTTATGAAACTTAAGTTAGATTAACACGTGACACCGTCCATCATCCGTTCCAGAAATGTCTCCTTGATCAAGCCCGCTTACCTTTCTTAGCAGTCAATACGAGTAGAAGACTTTTCGATTTAAAGCTTTCGTGACTGCAGGGATTCATATTATTGGTACTTTCGGTAAAGTCTCATAGAAGGGAAATTATAAAATAATTAGAATAAGACAATACAATTCTCACGACGTTTCGATTGCAACACAAGCAATCGTCATCAGGTGTGAAAACCACACAATCGAAACGTCGCGAGAATTGTATTTATTAATTTATTATTTCCCTTCTACGTGACTTTACCGTAAGAACCAAGAATACGAGTAGAAGACTGTCTACAATATAATTCAGGAGACTATGTATATTGGCAGCAGCACACTGAAGAACTGAATGAGTGACATCTGCTATCATTTCACAGCCGATTGGGTGGCTGACGATGGCTCAATACAAAAAAAACTGATAAGCAGTTTTAAGCAACGAAACGTATTCATATTTGTTTTTCCCCCCAGCATGTTGAGCTTGTGCATGGTGCGCGGTATCGCGCTGCTCCTGTAAAACCGCTACACAGCGAGAGGACAAACCACTCCGCCACTGGTCGCTCGCGCGCTCCGCTCACTTTTTTTGTTCAGCAGGAAGCCGGCCAGGTGGTAATACGTCACGTTAAGCGGCATGTCCATGTTGGTCAGATTACGGAAGGAAATCTCATTGCTGGCAGAATGGAGCTGCTGCAAGAGGACCTGCTTGGCGAAGTGCTGTTGGTCATTCTGAAATGCACACGTACACACACGGAAAAAGATCAACTGTTATAGCCATACAGATCATTGGGCAAGTACTAGTAGCGAGCACCTATTGCAGCCAGCCTGGTGCATGAGAGGGTGGTTGGTCAGTACTGCTGCTACGATTACACCTGGCCGCTTTTGCCTCTTCCGAAAAGCGTGTTTGGCTACGTCCACTGCGAAAGAAGTTCAACATACGTACATACATATTCTTCGGGTCTTTCGGCAAAGCCACACAGATAGGTTGAAAGAAAATAGCAACCTGCCTACGTGACTTTACCGAAAGACCCAAAGAATATGAATTCCTGCGGTCACGAAAGCTTTAAGTCAAGATTTATACGTACATACATACATGTTATTATCTCAAATACCCATTTGTTCTGGCACCTCGATGTACTGCATGGGTTGCACGGCATACATAATACACGATGATTACAGGTACTCCTTTAAGTCGAGTCGACCTAGAGGTGGCCCAGAGCTGGTTGAGATATTCTCCCACGGCCGGGATTCTAATCTACATCGGCCGGGATTCTAATCTACGTTGCACCGGTTCATGGCGAAGTGTGCTAACCACTGTGCCACCACTCTCCACACACACCACATGCACAGCGGGAATGGTGACACGGTTTAAACTTTTGTTTGCAAGAACATTACATGTGGACTCAATGTCACGTGAGAAAAGAAAACATTATTATAATAAGCTTGAAAATAAACAAAATTATATATAAATTGTTTTTCAGCCAATGCCATTCCACTGCTGGATGAAGGTATCCCTCTTATGTGACGTCATTCTTTGGGATTGTTTGACCATACTTCACCACGCTAGTCAGTTTGTATTGGTAAAGGGTGGGGGGGGAGGGATTACCCAGGATCAGTTGAGATATCGCTCGTCGGTAAAGACGAGGATTTAAACTCAGGTCGCCGGCTTCTCAACGCAAGCTGCGCTCACCACTGCGCTCGCCACTGCTCCCACACCCCCTTCCCCTCCACCGTTATCTCTACGTGTCAGAAAAAATATCAAGTACCTTTTTAACTAAAAATACCAAACGCTCCGAGTCGATATTAAAACAAACACATTCAGGGTGACCTCCTCAGGGTGTTAATGGACAACCGACGGGCGTGACCTGGGCTGGCACGTGGATCATAAGGAGAGCCCCAAGAAGCTCAACAGGGCAGAACCAAAGATTATTACGCAGCAGGGCCGTGCACATCGGGGCACCGCTGTCCTGTGGGAGGTAAACCGCTAATCCTGTCCACGGGAGCGGCTCTCGGTCACCACGCAAACTTTCACGGTTGTCACGTTGGCGCAGTGTTCTGCAACCCCCCCCCCGCCCCCAGTGTTGTTTCGGAGGCTAATGTTTAGCTGATATAACAAAAATGTATTTTACTAGGAGAGGCCCACTGAGCTATATAAATCTTTTTTTTTTTCAGAAGCGACCTTATTTATGTGGATAT